CCTCCCAAATAGCGACCTTTTCGGGGAGCTCTATCTCCGCCTCCTGCTCCGCTGCAGTCTCCGTTTTCCCACTACCACAGACCTCTATCCCTGCTCCTGCATACCTCCCAAATGCCGCTTCAGTCGCAGGGGAGGGATGGCACTGCCGGGGGCCGGGGACACCGCAAGAAACGAAGGACTCGCCGTCTCTGAAAGCTGAGATTTCTGACGAGAATTCATCCCTCCTGGAGTGAGGGCTCGGCTGGGAGACTGGGTAGAGGGGTGGGGTGGGGCGTTTTCATTTCACTGAGACTGCTGGTGCCCTTCAGGGCTGCTCCTGGTCATCTGCCTTTCTCTGCTGTAGGGGGGCACCTTCCTCATGCTGTGAGCTAGAGTAAATGTTGAATGGAGAGCAAGTCCCCACCTCCACCCGCTCCCCAGTCCATTCCTTCCTTCCTCTAAGATCCTTCCTAACGGCTCAGCGTTAACTGGGGCAAACGAGGCTGTGTGGTCTGCCCGTTCAGAAATTTATCTAAAAAGCAACTTACAGTAAATATTTAGGCAGTCTGGGTTGGTAACAGAAGCCCCAAACAAGCAGCCTGAGGGGAGTGAGTGGGACCAAATGGGTGGGATTGGGGGAATAATGTTGAACTGCTACTTTGTTCCAGGCATTGCACTAGGCACTTTCCAGATGTCATATCATGCCTCTCTCTGACAGGTTGTTTTCACTAATCCAATACTACTGTTGAGGAAACCAGGACGCACGGAGATTAATTATTCCTTGCAGTTCCCAAGGTATCATCTTCTATTTTTCTCAGTGTCTTTGCATATGCAGTTCTCTCCAGAGGAAACTTTCCATTCTTCTCTTGGCTAACCTCTATTGTTCCTTAAAGGTTCTATTTAGTCATCACCTCCTCCTCCAGAAGGACGTCCTTTTGACTCTCCTCAACCCACTCCCACAACCACAACCCAACCCACAACCACAAGGTGTGTTGGTGTCATGCCAGTTCTGCCTGGATCCAAAATCCTTATATTTTCTACTTTATCCCCAAAGTAGGAGGCCCAAAGGAAATACTGCCCCTTCCGATATCTTAGGGACAACTCTGTCCCTTTCTTAACCATATCTCACCCTCACACTTTTCTCTGCTAGTCAGTAGGTGACAGATCAAGACAGTTGAGAGAGAGAGAGAGAGGGTGCAAGCACTTCTTGGAGCTTTCTGAGTTCCTTTCTCTCCCTGGTCCCCAACATCTCCTTACTGTACCCACCACTGTTTTCCCTTTCCTCTCTCATTCCCACACACACCCCACAACCTGGAAATAAGCTCCTTGAGAGCAGGGCCAAGTTTTGTTCATTTTTGTACACCCTCATATGTGCATATTTAAAACAGGGTCTCTGTACTATGGACTGAAAAATTATTTGTTGTGGAGGGCTGTCCCTTGCATTATAGGACGTTTAGCAGAATCCCTGGCCTCTCCTCACCAGATGCCAGTAGTACCCTCCCCCTAGCTGTCACAACCAAAAGTGTCTCCAGATATTGCAAAATGTCCCCTGGGGGGCAAAAATCTGCAGTTGAAACCCACTAGTTTAACAGAATTGAATTGATATGAATTTCCAAGAAAGTCCTTGGCTCAAGGACTACATTATTTGATTTTGGAACTTTTTTCAGGGTATAATTTGTTAAACTCTTAAAGATTCATACTGTGCTTTAAAATTCACAACCCACGCCTAGCTCATCACTGCTTCAGTGTGATAAACCTGCCACAGCACAGCCCATTGGGGTTTCTTAATAAAAGAATTAATTATTTTACCTTCTTTCTTCCCAATACCTCTCCTCCTAAGCAGTCAGAGCTCTAGAACTGACTGGCTCAGAAATTCGTATTTTCTTTTGTGAGCCTAGTCAATCAGCAGGATCCCCAACAGTGGTGGCAGACAGGAGTGGCCAGTTTTGTTCCTGTTCCAGCCTATCCCAAGGGCAAAGGGAGCAGAGTGATCTTCAATTGGGAAGTAGGCTTGAGGACAGCTCTCAAGGCCCTACTGGCCTCTATGTAAAGCCAATTGCTGAGCCTAGAGCTCCATCTGGCTTCACTTTCAGAGAAGGGGTATGAAAAATTGGTGCTATGGAGATTGCAAAGAATCAACACGAGGAAAGACCTCAGTCCCAGTGGAATGGGTGATAGTAAACATCGACATCTATCTGCTCAGTATAGGCCCAGGCTTTCAGAGTTTGTCAAAAGGAAGAAGATACCTGGAAACAACTCCTGGAAGATGTAACAAGAAACCAGAGATTAACTGAAAACTTTGAAACTATAGGCCCTGGAATTGGCCCACACTCAAATTCTTTGAGCTTATTTGTCAACAAAGATGTGACAGTCATCAATACTATTGACCACAGAGGCACCTATAAATATACCTGGGAGCTAATTAGTCAGGGGCTGGTCTACAAGTTTTTCCATTTTGCAGAGATGGCTCCAGTGCAGAGCCTACACTACCTACACTACCACTTGCCCCTGTCTCAAAACTCAGGTATTCTGAGGCTGCTGGTAGAGAATTTGAGGTATAGTTATAGTTACAAGGACCAAACATACACTTTTCCACCTGTAAGCACTCCGCTTAAACCACAGTCAGATACTTGATTAAATAGATAGTAACCAGTAAGGAGAAAGCTTAAAAATAAGGTGCAGGAATTCTTAAAACACCTAGTTTTTGAGGATATTGGGCAACCAGGATAATGTAGTAGAAATAGCATAGAACACCCTCCTTACCACAGCAAGGGCACATGTGGGTATAATGAGGCAATGGAGGCTGTAGGGCCCTAGACTGAGACAAGGAATTGTCTGACTTCTTTGTTGCATCTTGCATACAGATGTAGAACTAGTTTAGGTTGTCAACTAAAGAAGATGGCTATCAGAAAGCTACTCAAAAATGGCTCCTCTTTGGGGCCAGCCCGGTGGCACAAGCGGTTAAGTGCGCACGTTCCGCTGCGGCGGCCCGGGGTTCGCCGGTTCGGATCCCGGGTGCGCACTGACGCACCGCTTGTTAAGCCATGCTGTGGCGGCGTCCCATATAAAAGTGGAGGAAGATGGGCATGGATGTTAGCCCAGGGCCAGTCTTCCTCAGCAAAAAAG